CGAACTCGTTCAACAAAATGAACAAATCTTTTTCCGAGTCAATTCGTTCATTTTGTTCGTTGAATGAACCAAATGACACGAAAAAAGATTTGTTCACTACTTTAACAACATCTCAGTCTGACGGCAGATACACGTTGTTTCACGAATTTATAATTTACATGGATTTTGTTTTGTTGACCAAAATACTGTTGTTAATCATTTTAGAGAGGAGCACGTTTGATTCAGTCTGAAAAAGTCCTGAAGTTTGAGCCTCGAGTCGTGAAATTGATATGTTGTGCCAACCTATACCAGTACCAGTGCTTTAAAGACTTTTAAAGTTTACATTTCACATGAAGAGCAAGCATAAAATACATCTATTGTAAATGCCAATGCTCATGTTTAGTAAGAAATAGTGCATCTCGTTGACAAAAAAAAGGTAAATTATATAAAAAGCATAATTGAGATTATCTCATTATTATTTAATATCAGGGTTCTACGGAAGCGTATTGCATTCACTTGAAGAAAAAAAATGTACTCTGTTTTTCTGAATTAATGAGTTAATTTTTCATGAGAAAAAAAATTTTGCTCTGTTTTTCTGAATTAATGAGTTAATTTTTCATGAGAAAAAAATTTTTGCTCTGTTTTTCTGAATTAATGAGTTAATTTTTCATGAGAAAATTTTTTTTTGCTCTGTTTTTCTGAATTAACGAGTAAATTTTTCATGAGAAAAATTTTTTTTGCTCTGTTTTTCTGAATTAATGAGTTAATTTTTCATGAGAAAAAAATTTTTTGCTCTGTTTTTCTGAATTAACGAGTAAATTTTTCATGAGAAAAAAATCTACTCTGTTTTTCTGAATTAATGAGTTAATTTTTAATGGAATTTTTTTTTTTTTTGCTGTTTTTCTGAATTAATGAGTTAATTCAGAAAAACAGCAAAAATAAATTTTCTCATGAAAAATTAACTCATTAATTCAGAAAAACAGAGTAGATTTTTTTTCTTCAAGTGAATGCAATACGCCTCCGTAGGGTTCATTGACATTTCACACTCATATTTTTGCTTTTTCATAGTTTTTCATCTCTAAAGCATTGTAAACGATGTTTGGAGTCTTTATGATGATATTTCTCTGCTCACGCCGCTGTCATTATGCCACAGACCGAGACATCAATATGTGATTGTAATTGTGTCATGAAAAGCTCTGTGTTGGACCAGCGGAGCTCGACTCCCTGTGGGTTTCTCTGGCTGATCTGTGATTATTACCTGATTGATGGCTTGAATGACATGTGGCCAGAGGGAGTAAACAGCAGGTAAATTGGAGGCTGTAATGAGTGATGCAATGGATAGGTAAGGAGACGAGTGATTGGTCAGATTTGCTGAGAAGTCCATCGAGACACTGGGAGTAGGTGAACAATATTTAACAATAACTTGTGAATATTGTATAAGTCGTGTTACCCAGTGTTACTGGAGGGTCCAGAACTCGGAGTGTTTTAGTGCTCCAAAAATGTATAGTTTGTTAAAAAAACACTTCCTGTAGTTGGATTTCTGAGAAAATACGTTTTTTTTTCCCCCATTGATAATCCTCACTCTCAAAACAGAATAAAGATGTCCAGGTCACTCATTATGGAGTGTGTGTGATAGGGAGGCTCTTGGCGACGGCTGATATTCTCAGGCCACTAGAGATGGAGATATCGAGCGCTGAGCTTCTCTGGGAGATGTCTATAGCTGATTACGTGCTCGAGGATCGGCTCAGAATGAGTGACGAGAGCCGTTGCCCTGTGTCATTCTTCACCCGGACTGAGGGATCTTTAATTTCAGAGAATCAAACTCGTTCTCTGTGTGAATGCTTCTCTCCGTTTTATCCTTGAATCTTTCAGAAAGAGTATTTTATATCGTCCTGCTGCTATTTTATTTTATCCGTCACCTTTATTAAAGAAGAACACTGAAAAAAAGGTCCCACTTTATATTAAGTGGCTTTAAGTACTATGTACTTACATCGAAAAATAAGTACAATGTACTTATTTTGTTCAGATTGTATTGTAAAACACTTTTGTTGCTATTGAGGTGTGATACGGGTAAGGTTAGGGTTAGGTGTGGTTGTATAGGTCGGTTTAAGGGTGGGTTAAGGTGTAAGGGAAGGGTCAACTGTGTAATTACAAATGTAATTACATTTATTAATTACAGCTGTAATTACATGCAGGTATTTTCAAAATATAAGTACAATGTAAAAACATGTATGTACACAATAAGTCCATTGTATCAAATTATTAATTTCAATGCAAGTACATAGTACTTAAAGCCACTTAATATAAAGTGGGACCGAAAAAAATAATATGCTTTATCTAATCAATAAAATTGTGGCAACATATTACAAGCAATATTATTAATTAAATTGTACAAATTAGAATTAATTAGAATGTTAATTTGATTAACTATTACTCAATTCTACTTTGTTCAATTTAATAAACAATATATTGCTTGTAATCTGTTGCCACAATTTTATTGATTAGATAAAGCATATTCATTTTTACAGTGAATATAGAGTGAATGATTGAAACTTGCATCACTAATAAAACAGCATTTTTTTTTTTTTATAAATGAAACACATATAAATTAATAAATATTGGTAGTATCATGGTAGTCTTTGATGTAAATATCATCGTGTTCGATTGCTTTCTGCACTTCAGCCTCGGGTTATCACCGTTCTGAACCCCACGTGGAGGAACGTGTCCCACTTTTAATGTAGAAGAGGGTTAGCATCTTGTTTTGAAACTTCGGTGCTGTTAAACCTGCATTGCTGTTCAGTGTGAAATGATGCGGTGTTAAAATGTTACTGACAGCCAATCGCGTGCCTCAGAAACACCATGTGTTTCAGTTTTTGCACGTAGCTAGAGCCTTTAAACATATCTTTTACAGTCACTGACACCGCAAATAAGAACGACAAAGATGGAGTACTTCAGTATACATTTACTCTCCCCCTCGTCATCCAAGATGTTCATGTCCGTCTTTCTTCAGACGAAAAGAAATAGTTTTTTTTCTCCATATAGTGACTTCAATGGGGTCCAAATGTCAGTTTCAGTGCCTTTTTATAGTCTTGACACGATCCCAGCTGCATGATTTTTCTTGTAAAGGGCATTTGATGTAGTCTTTGCACATTCGCTTTGTAAACACTGGGTCAGGTCTTCCTCCTACGTCCCGCTTGACCTTTCAACCTGATCATGTAATGTGTGTCACATCACAGCTAGTGCAAGACCAGCATTTGTGGTTTAAAGTATATAAATGCTAAATTTTTTTGTATAAAATGTCCGCTGGTTCGTCTAGATGAGACTCTTATTCCTCGGCTGGATCGTGTCGAGACTTTGAAGCTGCACTGAAACTCACATCTGGACCTTCGACCCGTTGGACCCCATTGAAGTCCATTATATGGAGAAATCCTGCAATGCTTTCCTCAAAAAATGCTCATGTGCTTGTGTTATTATCAGAGCGACCAACTTCATGTGGAGCTACGTCTACTGATCATAGAATTATGGAAAATTGCCATGGACTTGTTTCTCGCTCATTCTCGCTTCTCACGAGACTTCCTATTTCCAATTTAGCGGGACGTTAGTCCCCATGTTACAAGGTTGGTTTTCGGCCTGGGAACGCTGGGGGGAGCGAGGAAAGCCACCATTTTCACCAGAACAGGTTATTGAACCATCCAATATTTTCTAAATGGTTGATATGGTTGCCAAGTTAACCACGGGTAAATCATGAGCAGTGTAAACGATGAAGCAAGATAACAGGATTTAGTTTATAATGACCTATGACCCAGGGTTAAAGGAGTAGTTCAGTTTAAAAAAAAAAAAAAAAGAAAAACTTTTGCTGATAATTTACTCACCCCCATGTCATCCAAGATGTCCATGTCTTTCTTTCTTCAGTCGAACAGAAATGAAGGTTTTTGATGAAAACATTCCAGGATTTTCTCCATATAATGGACTTCAATGGGGACCAAACGGTTCAAGGTCCAAAAGACAGTTTCAGTGCAAACTGTTCAAAGGGCTTTAAATGATTCCAGACGATAAATAAGAGTCTTATCTAGCGAAACGATCGCTCATTTAATAAATAAATAACAAAGTTTAAGTTTTATGGGATGAGCGTTCGTGACTCTCCTGTTCAAACTCGTTCATCAAAATGAACGAATCTTATTTCGAGTCATGACTCGAAGGGTCCTAGATAAGACTTTTATTCATCGTCTGGAATCGTTTAAAGCCCTTTGAACAGTTTGCACTGAAACTGTCTTTTGGACCTTGAACCGTTTGGTTCCCATTGAAGTCCATTATATGGAGAAAATCCTGGAATGTTTTCATCAAAAACCTTAATTTCTTTTCGACTGAAGAAAGAAACACATGGACATCTTGGATGACACGGGGGCGAGTAAATTATCAGCAAGTTTTTTTTTTGTTTTTTTTTTAAATTAACTACTCCTTTAACTATTTCAAGCATGAAATATCATGGTGACTACAATTGTCTGAAAAGTTTCTGCATTTGCTTTACTGTAATCATTCCTGTATCTGGACTTCTGAGAAAATACATTTTTTTTTTCCTATTGATAATTCTCTCTCTCCCGCAAAAAAAAACAACCTAACCTTAACCCTAACAATGGAAAGATTTGCCCTATTATACATGTCCAGGTCACTCATTATAGAGTGTGTGTGATAGGGATGCGTAGATCCAGAGGCTCTTGGCGACGGCTGATGATATTCTCAGGCCACTAGACATGGAGATTTCGATATTCTCTGGGAGATTTTTATAGCTGATTATGTGCTTGAGGATCGGCTCAGAATGAGTGACGAGAGCTGTTGCAGCATGACAAGCCCTAATATAATGCTTTCACCATTTGCAATCTCAGGTTTCATTAATATTTGCATTATGCCATGGTTCATTTATTAATAGGTGGTATGTTAGTATCACAATCCTAAAAATGTAAGCTTTCTAAATCTAAAACACTTCCTCACGTTTGATTAGTAAGCAGTGCATGTGTTTCCAGTTCGCCAGCGGCGGTGAACCAGAAGGTGGAGGAGCGTCCGGAGACTGCAAGACCAGACTGACATCTCTGATCACGCAGACCAGGATCTCCACACAAGATCCTCCCGCCTCCATCAACACCCAGGAGACACACATATGATGCCTGATCTGACTGGAACTGTGACCACATCAAAATGGTTGTTCAATGCAACACATTATTCAATCCAAAGTGCACAAAAGCATTGAGATGAATTGTCCCTTCATGGTGGAAAATTTAAATAAAAAGGCAATTTGATATCATTGACAAAACGCCAATACTCTCCAGAGAACATCAGCATCCGCAGAACCTCATCAAGAACATGTCAAGTTCAGATTACATCTTAAAATCAAAAGAAATATACATTTTGCTAACAGAAAGTGTAGATTTTGTTTTGTTCCATATTTGATGCAAGAGTTAAAGGGGTGGTTGATTATGATTTCACTTTTCTAACTTTAGGTAGTGTGTAATGTTGCTGTTTGAGCATAAACAACACACTCTCAGAAAAAAAAGGTACAAAAGCTGTCACTGTGGCGTTACCAAAAGGTACACTTTTGTACCTAAAGGGTGCATATTGGTACCTTAATGTACATATTAGCACCTAAAATGTACATAATAGCACCTAAAATGCACATATTAGCACCTAAATGTTCATATTAGCACCAAAAATGTACACATTAGCACCTAAAATGTACATATTAGCACCTGAAAAGTACATATTAGCACATAAAATTCACATATTAGCACCTAAAATGTACATTATAGCACCTAAAATGTACATATTAGCACCTGAAATGTACATATTAGCACATAAAATTCACACATTAGCACCTAAAATGTACATATTACCACCTGAAATGTACCTATTAGCACCTAAAATTCACACATTACCAATTAAATGTCCATATTAGCACCTAAAATACATATTAGCACCTAAAATGCACATATTAGCACCTAAAATACATAATAGCACCTAAAATGTACAAATTAGCACCTAAAACGCACATATTAGCACCTAAAATGTATATATTACCACCTAAAAATCACATATTAGCAATTAAATGTCCATGTTAGCACATAAAATACATATTAGCACCTAAAATGCCCATATTAGCACCTAAAATGTACATATTAGCACCTAAAATGTATATATTACCACCTAAAAATCACATATTAGCAATTAAATGTCCATGTTAGCACATAAAATACATATTAGCACCTAAAATGCCCATATTAGCACCTAAAATGTACATATTCGCACCTAAAATGTACATAGCACCTAAAATGTACATAATAGCACCTAAAATGCACGTTTTGAAAAGGTACAGCCCCAGTGACAGTTTTTTTATTTTATTTTTTTTTACCTTTTTTCCCGAGAGTGTCTGCAAAGTTAAGACAAAACTACTAATATATTCATTGTTACTCCTTTAGAAAGAATTTGAATGCCAATTTCAGACATAAAAAGGAGTCTGCAAATCTTATAATGCATTTTAACTCTGGTGACAATTATTTATAAAAACATGTAATATTTAAACGTAATGTTGTATTATTCGAACGACAGGCTTACATTTTGTATTCATTTTTTCTTGTTGATTTTGCTGTGAAATGTGACTCATTTTTGTAACATTGACCTAATAAGAGACTTTGAATAATAGACGTAATTACAGCCGTCCGGTCGAAGAGAGATTGCTCTGTTAATGGCCTTACTGTCCGCATCACATCTACAGTCACGGTGCCGTTGTGGCCTTTTCAATCCAGTTAATAATGAATATATGCCATGTCTAAGATATGTCTTTGTTCTGTTTGAACTCAAATGGAAATTCATATTATAAATGTTATTCTCATGCCTATCTAGTTTGTGGTCTAGATTCATTGGGTTCTGACGTCCATTTCTTACGGCCACTCAACTCAAAATTCCTCTTGCTTGCAAAAAACCACTTATCTCATATGGGTTGTATGTTTTTTTGTTTTTTTTAACCTAACAATCAATTTTCATTTAGAGCACAGAATAGGTCTGATATTTGATTAGTTAATAAGTCATTTACTGCAGATATGCAGTTCTGTCAAAACCTGCATTAATGGAGCCTGGAGAAAATCAATATCGGCCCAGTCGATACTTCTCTGACCTACTCCAGTCCAGGGTCTCCTAACTGGGCATTCTCCACCGTACTGAACATTTTCCCATCCAGGTGGGCTTTTTTCGTTTTCTTGAACACCATTCTTGTTGAGGATTTTTGGACGAGGACTTTCACAGTTTGTAGTTTTCTGGAAGTCAACATGATATCAGTTCCCTTTCAAGGGAACTTCGAGCTGCGTTGTCAAACGCGATGGGAACGCTCTGCGTGATTGCATCGTGAAGCGTCTGTTTTTATTTTTTTATTTTTTTATTTTTATTAGACATTATAGAAACATACAAACAATAACATGACATCCAAAAAGACAACAATCCAAGATTTTCCAAAAATAGTTTAACATAAATGAACAAGAGACTAAAAAAATAAAAATAAAATAAGGGCTAAATTTAACTATTTATAAATATAATAGCTACGAGAAATTACAATCCAAGACAATATTGAGGAAAGAAGAGAAACATATATTTCTTCACTGTTCAATTATTTTCAATTCTTTAGCAAATACAATTGTGTCCGAGCATTTCTTATTATCTATACATTTAAGAGATTCAATATACAACATAAAATCAGCCAAAAAAACCTTTAAACAAGGCTTAGAATTATTAAATTTACATTTATGACTGTGAAATTTGCCAAATAGAATCATAAGATTAATCATAAAATGTACAGACGTAGTTTTTGACTCAAAATATATAATAACATCTTTGGGTGTTAATACACAATTATGACCTGATTTCCGTTGAAAACATATAGATAGATTTTCCCAAAATTTTTTAGAATGATGACATTCAAAAAAAAAGATGTAGAGTTTTTTCTGGTTGATTCAGACAAAATGAGCAATTCTCATCAATCTCCGTAAATTTTGATAAAGTGTAATTATTAACATAAATGTTATGAAGAATTTTTAAGTGTATTTCTCTATATTTGTTCGGTATGCAAAACCGAAATGGAAGCAACCAAGCCTTTTTCCAGATAATCTCTGGGAAGCAAATGTTCCAGAAAAATGTCCCTCTTGGCTGAAAGGACCTATTTTTATAAAATATATTTCTAATAAATTTATTGGAGCATTTTTTACTATTAAAGTCCACACCATTTAAATAAAGTACAGGATCACTTCTGCATATGTTAAGGGATGACATATGGCTTCTCATTAACATCATTAGACCTGAGGGAATGGCTTTTATCACAGAATAATATTCTCTATATTTAATAGGAAAAGCCCACTTATTCATGAAAGTTTCATAAGAAAGAAACTGAGCTGACTGATCTAAAAGGTCAGATAAAAGGTAAATTCCTTTGTCTTTCCAACTCTGTGAATAAAGAGATTTCCGATATACTGTAATATAAGCATTATTCCACAAGATTGCTTTATGTGGGGAAAAGTTATGTACATAACATAACTTCCAGGCCTTGAGAGCTTGTTGGTAGAAACTGGATAATGTCACAGGCAGTTTACTAATGGAGTAATCACATAATAACAAAAAATTTAAACCTCCTATCTTTTTAAAAATATTGTATGGAGTCGTGAAGCGTCTGTACAATCAGTCCAATGAGAGAGTAGGACGTCAGGTGACGTCATCGACCAGGAAACTATAAAGCACCCTTGAGATCAGACCGCGACAGCTTCTGTAGTCTTCAGCAAGCGATCTCTGTACTCTGTCCTTGTCTATTTATTGTTGTTTGTCAAAGCCAAGAAAAGAAATATATATCGCTATCTATATTTATGGCAAGCAAGATTATAGACGCCGTGTGGTTCCCTGCCCTCGTTACATCACGGGTGGGGACACACATCAGCTATTTGTTTGGGAGTGGAGCATGCCAGCAGTCAGTTCTCGAGGGAGCTGATTGTGGGCATTGCGAGAAGCTGTCCGCGAGGACGCTCCGCTCCCGCCGGGCGTTCTCCGAGGAGGACGGTTCGGTTCGCGGTCCCCGCGCGGGTCTCTCTGTTGCCGAGGCACGGAGACGACTCGCATTTCGGGGTTCGCAAACGGATCTGACAGCGGGGGTTGGGACCATAGACATTTACACTAGACGTCACCTTGGATACGGCAGTTCATTAGAACGAATGCGTCAATAGAGCCGCCATCTTGAAACAGGGGAGCCCCTCCACTTTAATGCATCAGCGTCAATGTAGTAGACACAGGTCTAACGCAAATAAAATCATCATGAATGCGTTTTTTCTTGTTTTTTTGGTTTGTTCCAACAGTCAGACATGTATTTATCATTGATTCCAGAAAGAAATTTTTTTTTTTCTTAAAAAAAAAAAAAAAATATTCTTCCTAGTTCAGATTTCATCCGTGAACTTCATACGCTGCACAAAAGTCCGCCACCATTAATGAACTCGAAGTAAAGGCAGAGATAGCAGCGTTACCTAGCTACTTCCTATGACAAGACCCCTGTTCCAAGATGGCGGCGGTTTTGACGCATGCTTAGAACCCCCAAGTGAGGTTGGGACGAGCTCAGCTCTATCTCAGCTTTCACATGCCAGATCTGGACTGCGATTTCCAGTTCCGAGGAATTGGTATCGTTAGTGTTTTGTTTTAAAAAGAAACAGTACAAACAAATAAAAATGTTAAGAGAAAGCCAGATGTTTGACTTTTAAATGAATGAATAAATAAGTCGGCTCATATCTGCTGAATAAAGAGGAGCTTTTAAAAGGAGGTTTTGTTTATGCTTTTGCCAGTTAAAATTTGACTGGCTAGCTGAACATTATGAGATTGAAAAATAAATAAGAGTTTTTTTAGATTAAATTTATTTTAAAAACTAGAAAACTCGGTTTCTCAGCCTCCTCGTCGGGGTTATATTTCATGTGTTTAATCCCCATATTATAGCAATGTTTGGGTATTTCAGTGCCTCGGGTTAAGAGACGCTTGCAAGCTTTCTCTCTCCCGAGTCGGCCTACCACACCCCTCTGGGGGGTACTTCTATCGGGAGAGATCCTCTAATTACTAGTTTTTCTCGATGGTACATGAGGTTGAAACCTGCACTGCACTCAGAGCACCGGCTTGGGATTTGGCCATTGTACTTGAGGGTCTGGCTTTGGCTCCCTTTGAGCCCATTGAAGAGGTTTCAGACAAATTCCTCACTTTGAGAACATTTCTCTTTGCGGTTTCATTTACCGGAGATTAGGAGATTTGCATGCCCTGTCGGTTGCTCCTTTATGCCTGGAATCTGCACCGGGTATAGTGAAAGCATTTCTATACCCTAGACCGGGTTATACTCCTTTGGTAATTTTTGGGGGCCTTATAGTGCTGCAGGCCTTTTATCCTCCACCTTTTAATACCCCAGATCAGGAACGACTGAACCATGTCCAGTTTGGGCATTAGATGCCTACGTTCACAGAGCTGCCCTGTGGCGTAACTTTGGACAATTATTTGTCTGCCGTGGGTCACTCAAGAAAGAGTCCCCTGCATCTAAACAGGTTATGAGCAAATGGATAGTCGAGGCTATATCATTAGCTTATGAAGCGGCTGAACAGCTTTCACCTATGGCTGTTCGGGCCCATTCTACTAGAAGTATGGCGGCCTCTACGGCCTTTATTTCGAGTGTTTCCCTTCTCGATTTTTGTAATGCGGCAGGATGTCCTCTCTGCATACATTTCTCAGATTTTATGACCTTGGCCTCTCCACTTCTGGGGCTAGGTTGCTTGCTTCTTAGTGTGCGCAAGGACTTCACACAGAACGGGCATTTCTCAGCATGGCGTAGTGGGTATGGGGTTCCCCTCGCGTTTGACAACGCAGCTCTCGTTCCCTCTCAGGGAACCATGGTTACATACGTAACCCGAGACGTTTTGTTGCAGTCTCACACATCTGTCCAGGTAAGTTTAACCATGATGAACCAGACACATCTTAGCTTGTTCAACATGCTAAAATGATTCCTAGCGTTAGCGATTACCCCAAAGCTCAGTGTTGTTAAGGTCAGGTAATATTATTTATTTACAAACATTATTAATGCAATATTTTAGTTTAATATAGAGTCTAAGCCTTGGAAAAATTTTTTTTTTGAAGATAATTAGCACCATTTGGTTACAGTGTGAAGAAAAAGCGTAGAATCATGGTGTAACCACTAGATGGCATGTGCAGCTCTCTATGGAGAGGCACATGAATTAGCTGTTTATGAACACATTTTTTTTTTTTTTTGGTAGATTTGAATATATAATTAAAACAATCACAAAAACTATTTCTTATTTAAAAAATTGTAAAAAATAAAAATAAATAAAAAATTCTGATTTTTTTGTCAATTTTCTATTCATTTCTTATGGGGGTCATTTTTGACCAAAGACCAAAATCGTGACTACGTTTTTTACGACCACTTAGCATGCTCGGATCATGAACTCAATTTTGTTTTGTGTTCGCATACCTAATGCCAGAAATGTCACCAAGTTTCGTAACATTCTGATGAAGCTGTGATTTTTAATAATTCAAAACAGATTTTTTTGTAGTCTGAATTTATTGGTGTGTATGTGTATAAAAGTGTGTTTGTATGTGTGTGTGTGTGTGTGTAAATTTTTTGCACTCTTGATGTTGTAGAGTGTCACCCCTTTACTGCGGTACACTTCTTTTAAGAATCGTGGCCGATTTGTAGATTGTACAAATTTTTGTAAATTTCCCATTCATTTCCTATGTATTTCCTATACGAAGACCACGAGTGTGACTATTTTTTTAGTGCGACCACTGATCATGACCTCATTTTTTTTTTGTATTCACATACCAAATGCCAAAAAAGTCACCAAGTATCATAACCTTCCGATGAAGCTGTGACATTCATCTGATTGACAGATATAGCACACCTTATATCAGTGTTGTTGCTAATGTTATGGTTATTTTATTTCAGAATACAGTTTAATTCTGTGTAAAGTATACAAATTCATTCAACTGAACTGTGCACATGTATTTTAGACATTTATATATTATTCCATCCATGTCCATGAACAAGTTCAAAAAAGGGATAAAAAAGAATAAGGGTGCATCTTCTTTCTCAATACTCCACTTTTGTGGCATGTTTGTGTTTCAGGTATATAGGCATGCAACATCCAGTAGGTGGCGTTTGCTCACTCTCATTGCCTATTGGTATCACGTCAGATCAAGAGTCGGAAATATCAAACATGATCATGCGGGCAGTCTTACAGTTTTCATAAACTTCTCAGTCGTTACGCGGCTCAAAACAAGTGAAGTGCACAGTTGATCAGGCAAATGATTGCCCACCCAAGCAATCAGGACCCAGGTGGGCCAAATCCCATTTCTGCCAGAACAAATTAAAGAGCAAGAGATCCTGGCACCACTTCAGTGCACTCTGAGCTGAGACACCTCCCAATACTGACCTTCAAAACCAACACTTTAAGTCTTCATAGTCAGAACTGTGGACTGCTGCCAAACCTATAATCACGACTCTTTGCTTTAACCAATGTGCTAATTACAGCTTGGCCATAAGAGCCCTCAAACCAGTTTGAAGCTGAAATGTCTGACACCAAATTTTCAAGATAACCTATTTTTACAGCTGGTAAACCTGCCAAAAATCTTTCTAAACATGTGTGAACTACCTAAAAAAAATAATGATGGCATCCCACATGAAAGGTCTTGCTACTGTAACTTTTCCCTGTAAAAATCATGGCGACTACAAACATAACGAATGTTTTCATTTAAAAAAAAAGTCTCCAAGCAAAACGTGCAAAATATAACGTCACTTAAGCAGCTCTCTCGCTTGTAATTTTGATCTAATTACTTTATTGAGCGGACGAGAATCTCCAGTGCTACTCAGTTCTCATTAGCCTTCACAAACCGTCCGTTTCATAACAAGCCCTTTAGACACAGAAGCAAGTCGGCCAGATTAACAACATAATTGTCTCCATAGTCGTGTAACAAAAATGTCACTGATATTTCAAATGTCTCATTATAAGTGTGTACAGGTGATTTCTAATGGATAAAGAACAGCCACTCGAGTACTTAGACCTTCTTTAATAAGCTTGTGTTCAGTTCACCTCATTTATTGTCCTCTAAGTAGAAATTCAGCTTTATTCATTCATAGTTTCTTTGTGGCGTATTGAATAAGAAACGGTCTCTCAAATACATGGGCCAGTCAATAGAAGTGTTAAACTGAAACGTTCCTGCGAGCCAGCCGACAGATAATGAGGAAGATACTGAGCGTGATGATCCTGCCGGAGCCAAATTTAGCGCTTAAGTCTGAGCTCAGACAGATCTTTACTTTCCACTTGTGTAGATGGATCAACAGAAGACCGTAATGTGAAACAGCCAAGTTAGTTTAGATGAAACTCTTGTCAGTCCCTCCAGGGTAATTTCCAAAAATTTGTGAAAAAATTTGCGATTTATATATAACATTTACCATAATAGATGAAACTCTTGCATACTCAGTTATTGAGTCCAGATTAAAGGCTGTTAATGGTATTGTGGATTAACAAATGGTGGTGATTTACAGTCAATAACTGCACAATTAACCACATAGGTTGGACACTCCCATATTGAAAGGCGAATTTTGCGTTTAATAAATCAAAACTTTCACATAAACAAATCGTCTGGTTTTATTTAGTAAAAAGTTTCACAAACATTTACAAATTAAACATTTCATTATGTCGAAATATAAACAGATTGAATCTGAACCAAGGCTGTCAAAATTAGAGAATATTATATTGCAAAATCTCGAGGGGAGAGGTCATATCTCTTTATTTTATCACATGATGAGGAATCCACCGCTGATAGGCTAAATGCATGGAGATCTGACATCCAAGAGGAGATACATGTGGTAGACTGGGGAAGCTGCATGTTTAAAAGCCCCAAAACAGTCAATTAGTACCAGGATGAAACTCAATTAAAGTTCAATTAAAAATATTTTTTATGATTATTAATGTATGTTAATAAAATATTTCTTTAAATTGATTGACACGCCCAGTGATTGGTGATTTTCTAGTGCGCAACTGCGCATGACAAATTGTAATAAAATTACTTTTAACACCACCTACTATGTGGCCTTTTTACCCTAAACTGATCATATTTTTTAAACTCTAGGTAAATTCAGTAAAAAAAAAAGAAAAGGATTTCTCTAAGTAAATAAAAGTAAATTAGGTAATCAACCCTCACTGGTCTCTGACTTGACTCGGACTCGACTCTCTCTGGTCTCGGTGTCGACTCGGACTCGAGTGAGGTGGTCTCGACTACAACACTGACTGGTTCAAATGTTTCATATCCAAATAAGTAAAACAACAGGTAATAAGGTTTTTAAGAGTTTCAATGCAACTCAATGCAAATTCAAACCCGATCTCACGGGAATTCGTACGAATTTTACGAATTAGCCAATTCGTATGAATTCGTACGAATGACCTACCCCTGATCCCGCCCCTAAAAATAACCGTCACGTGGGTTTAGACAAATCGTACGAATTCGTACGAATTAGCGAATTGTACGAATTAGCCATCATTCGTACGAATTGGTCGTGAGATATCGTAGCAAATTCCCACCGTTAGCAAATGGTTCCATGTTAATCAACTTCTGCCCCCAGTAAGTCTGGGACGGTGTTTAATGTAA